CAACCTCCTTTTGAAGCCCCAAAACCTGCCCTTCCAGCCCACAACTGCTCACCTCGTTTTTAACACAACATCTTCATTCTCTCCCCCACAGATCACCTCACATTTAACCCCCACAGTTTTCTCGACCTGCACAATACTCATTAACTCATTTTTACCTCCAAAGGTTCATTTTCTACCCCGGAGGTTTTCTCAAGTTTTACCCCCAGAACTTTCCTTACCTGCCCACTCCTGACTGCCTCAGTTGACCCCAAAATCTTCCTTCCCTCTGCTACACACTGCCCCACATTTTTCCCTCCCTGTCCACTGCTGATTCCCTCAGTTTTACCTCCAAATATTCATTCTCTGCCATGGATACTCTCTCCCATCTCACCCCCACAACTTTCCCTTCCAGCCCACTCCTGATCACCTCTGTTTCAACACAACATTTTCATTCTCTCTGCTACAGGTTGTCCCAGATTTTAACCCCCAAAATTTCCCTACCTCTCCACATCTGATCACCTCATTAATACCTAAATATGTTCAATCTCTACCCTATAAACTACCCAGGGAGAACCCCAGGAACTCACAGCCAACAATGCCTGACAGTCTCTGCAGCCGGAGCTCAGCACACGGACAGAAAGGCAATTCCACCACCTAAAAGGAAAAAAGAAGAAGGAAATGGTGATTTATTGGTTTAAAAGTTATTTTAAGTTCTTAAAACAGAACCAACACGTGCTTTGGAATTTTGTTGGGTGAATAATTGGCAGTGGGCACAGGCCAGGTTATTAATGCTGATTTCAGTGGTGCTCTCTGGGGCCAGACCAGCTGATGTCCCAAGTTCAGTTCCTGCCCAAGGACTGATCTGAGCTCCCCGTTCCCTGCATTGCTCATCCCAACACCCACAGCAATCTCACCTCAGCCCACAGGCTCTCTGTCCTCAGAGGCAAACACAGCCTGCTGGGACACAGCTCCAGCACTGCATTTCCTCTCATTCCTGGTGTCCAGCAAAGCCCCAGGGAGATCCAATCCCTCAGACCCTGCATCCCTGGACACCAGGGGAACCGGAGCCCGACCCGGATCCCAGGGCCCTGGACAAGTGTGTTCCCAGGAGCACATGCCCGAGGCTCCATCCAGCCCATCCCTCCCTCCCTTCCCCCCAGGGACATGGCTGGAGCCCCTCACAGAAAAAGGACTCATCAGCTCACCCAGACACTGAGTGAAAGCTTCACCTTTCCACCAATTTGTCCAGAAAGGGTCAGGACACAAAAGTCTCGCTGTCCTTTACCTCCCCTGGGCAGCCTGTCATCTACACCTTAAATCATGGGGGCCACGTGCTTTCCTTCCCATGGAAAAGAATTGTTATTCCCTCTCAGAAAGGCAGCCCCAAAATATTGTTTTCCTGTTTATGACTTGAATCGCTCCCCTGCTGACTCGCTGAGCTATTACACTCCAAATATACACTCTGTCCCCTATAGTTTACCTCCACTTTTATGCCCAAAATAGTCACAGATACCAGGACATTATCTTGCTTCCAAGGCAGGACCGATCATCCTTTTAGGAAAAGGGAAAGAGGCAAGGCTTCATCAGGCACTGCACAACTTAGCAAGTGAGTTTAACAAATACCATCAGGTTTTGTGCACAGAGGAAATAAAACTCACTGGTTTTACGAGCTAAAATATCGGGGAAATTCCTGGCTTGAGAGACTCCCTTGGATCCACGGCTCCCCTGCAGAAGCTCCCTACAAAAAGTGCTCCCGGGAAACCCCCCAGCAGGGTCCTCGTCATCCTCACCGGCCACACCTGGGGCTGCCCCGTCCCTTTGTCACCCTCGCCGGGCTCTGGGGTTCTTTCGGGCCGCTTTTGGCTGCGGGTTTGAGGGGACCGGTCCCAGCCCCGCCCCAGCTCGCCGCACCCGCCGCGCTCCCCGCAGCCCTCGCTCGGCCCCGCGGGGGTTTGTGCCTCCTCCGAAGGTGCCAAATGTCTGCAAAGCCGGTCGGGAAGCCGCTCCCGGGCTTGCTTTCCCAGCCTTTTCTGCCCAGCACCGCAGCGGTCGCAAAGGAAACCAGAAAAACGGGGAAAAAAAGACCCAAATCGCCCCGTGCCAACCCCCGGCTCCTCCCGCCGAGCCCGGGCAGAGCCCGAGAACTGCAGTCCCCGGGCCCCGCCGCGGCTTCCCCGCCGTCCCCCGGCACCTCCCGCCCCGCAGCGCCGCTCCCGCTGCCGCCCCCGAGCACAGGGAACGAACCCCATCGCCCCCCGCACGGGCCGGGCCATCCCCGGCAGCCTCGGCTGCGACCCCGCGGGGAAGGGACCCGGAGCTTCCATTATGCATCTCGTCCCGCCCCGGCACTCCTTGTACGGGCATCGCCCCGCCCCACGCGCCCCTTTTATGGACATAACCCCGCCCTACACAACCCTACATGGACATCGCCCCGCCCCACAGGCTCCTTTTATGGACATAACTCCGCCCTACATAACCCTACATGGGCATCGCCCCGCCCCACAGGCTCCTTTTATGGACATAACCCCGCCCTACACAACCCTACATGGGCATCGCCCCGCCCCGGCACTCCTTTTATGGGAATCGCCCCGCCCCAATGCTCTTTTCATGGGCATTGCCCCGCCTTACAAACTCCCTTTATGGACACAGCCCCACCCCACACCCCTTCCATGGCCCCGTCCCCCGGAGCTGTCCGTCACCTCGGTCACCGCCCCACACTCCTCTCACAGTCCCCGCCCGCCCCTCCCGCTGTCGCTCATCCCAGTCCCGCCCCTCCCGCTCCCGGTTGGAATGTCCCGCCCGTTCCCCGCATTCCCGCATTCTCCCGGAGACAAACACAGCCCGCTGGGACACAGCTCCGGCACCGCGTTTCCTCTCATTCCTGGTCTCCTGCAAACCCCCAGGGAGATCCAACCCCTCAGACCCTGCATCCCTGGACAGCAGGGGAACTGGAGCCCGACCCGGATGCCAGCGCCCTGGACAAGTGTGTTCCCAGGAGCACAGGCCCGTGGCTCCATCCAGCCCGTCCCTCCCTCGGTCCTTCCCCCGCCGGGGCTCCCGAGCCCTCCCGGCCCTGCCCGGCTCTGTCCCTTGTGCCCCGCAGTCTCCGCCTGGCGGACACGGCCGGTACTGCAGCCCCGGCACCAGAGGCGCCCCAAAGGACCCCCCGCGCCCCCCGCGCCGGCTCCGCAGCCCCCCTGCCCTTCCAGCCCACTCCTGATCACCTCTGTTTTAACACAACATTCTCATTCTCTCTGCTACAGATTGCCCCAGATTTAACCCCCAAAATTTCCCTACCTCTCCACATCTGATCACCTCCTCGATACCTAAATATGTTCAATCTCTACCCTATAAACTGTTGCAAGTTTACCTTCAGAACTTGCTCAGGCCTCCCCCAGCTCTCCATTTCTCTTCTCCAGAGTGCAACTGGACTCTGGGGAAGACGTTCCAGCCTGGCTGGTGCCAGGCTCCATGTGCTCCCTCAGGCAGCTCTTCAGGCCAAAGAGCTCCTCTGGGTTTGTGCAAATAACTGGAGCTAAAAAAGGAAAGTTAACCGAGTATTCCAGGCTGGCAGGAATTAAAAGAGATTATGCTGGCCGGAACATTCTGACAGGGAATTTACTGCAGCAGCATAAGGAAGCGGAGATACTCACTGCGGTGATGTGTACCTGCATCATGCAGCCACGAGAGGGCAGTCAGATACCGCAGGAGAAATCACTCACAAGTTCCCAGGACCTCGCTCCGCTGTGGAACAAATAAATAGAAGGGTTTGCTACTGCTCGTGCTGGGAGGAGAAATGAATCCGAAACCAAGATACTTTTACAGCAGAGATGGGAAAGATTACTAAGATAAACAACACTGCCCTGTGTGTTGCTTGTCATTGCAATCACAATAGATGTATAATATATTCCACATGTATCCTGTGTAATATGCACTAAATCTGTCAAACACTTATAATAAATATACGTAATACATTATAATAAACTTATAATTCATGTTATTTATAAAATATTATCGATTCAAGTTACCCTATCACATTTAATGACTGCATTGAAAAGATAATAATTTCCTTACAATTACCAAAGGAAAACATCTCTATGCAGGTGAGTAACCACTGGAACAGAAGCCCAGAGAGGCTGTGGGATCTCCATCCTTGGAGATGCTCCAAACTGAAAGGCCCTGGGCAATGGGACAAGGCTGTGACACACTG